TATTAACCGGAAAAAATTAAATGATTTTTATTGCTGTGGCCGACAATGGCAATAAGCGCTGTCCATTCATAAAAATGCCAAGACACAATAACAATAACAATAATAACAAACGGCAGGAAAAACAACAAAATACAAAAATACCACACAAATCCAAATCAAAACAACATTTTTTTCTCCTGTAAACATTGAACATCACATGTTTATACCAGAGCACCCATAGATGGTGCAAGCCAGCTGCAGATGATTCCCTTACTGCTTGATTGGCTGATGTCAAAGGTCTAAAAATAGACGACGCCATCTAAATAAACAGATCACATCAGTTTCATTTAAATATAATTCGGTGGTATTCAATTAAAATTACACATTCTTGAGGCATATATCCATTTTCCATAAACTGTACTACTTTATTAACCAAATGGTTATATATTGCATACTACAATTGTGGAAATGTATTCAATTAACAGAAGTAGATTTAATTGGGTTAATGTATTGTATATATATGTAATTCATAAGTTAACCCACAAATGTATAGGTGTATCGATCTTTGGTTAACCTAATCTAGATTAATAGTCACCAATAATATTTTTTTAGTTCTTCCCTTCCTGTTGGTGAGCAAATTCATTTGTAAAAACCTTTATTTTGTATATTCAGAGACATGCTCGTATTGTATATATTAGAAACATCAATACATAATGTTTATTAAAATAAAATAAAATAAACTTTATGCAAGTAAGTAAGATAATTCTCATTCGCTTTAAGTTTCAACAGAGTTTTGTAAATCACGTTTTCCTTACATATTTTATTTAAATTTTTGCTCAATTATTCAATTTATGTCTAGCTGCCAGTCTGCCTGTTCATTATCTGACGCGAGTGCTGGGAAATCAATAAAACCTCGATTTATGTTCTTCACAGCTATAAAACTTATTTTGTTTCACAGAATTATAGGACTACTGCAACGATTTCAATTCGTTGCTAATGGATTTGTGTGAGGCGTGTGATGATATTTATAAATACTTATACATTAGAATAAATTATTGAAAATAAAATTGATCTGTTTTTAACTAGCGGGCAGTTCAAAGCATCCCTCATCGCACACTGAAAAGATGCCTGCAAATAAGTCGTAAGGATGTGGACAAACATTTGAACTTGTGCAGCAACAGAAGCAAAAATACCAAATGGTGTCTACGGCTGTCAGCTGAGCTAAATGCCACAACAGCACACAGCAACACACACGCTTTCATATACACTCATATTCATGTTTGTGTGTCAGAAAACTGTCATGCTGCATTTCATATGGCTCATTCGGACGAAGGCTGTCACACGGGAGGGCAGCTATCGGAGGATGATGGGTGATGGGAGAAAGGGTGGGGGGTACATTGGTACGGCCTGACATTGCCGTGGACGTGAACGGAGACTCGGTCTCGGACCCCGGCGACATACTCTTCTTCACAGACAGTTTTCACTAATTATCTGACACGATGCTGGGGGCTGAGACCGAAACTGAAACAGCGGACTGTGGGGACCGGTGGCTGGTGCAGGGACTGCTACTGCTGCTGCTGCTGTTGCTCGTTGCGGCCAAGGACTCATTTTGAATGTGCTGTTGTATACGGTTACATAGCACAGCACAGCACAAATACACACTCACACACACACACACATATACACACACACTCACACACACACACACTAATGCACACACAAACTTTACGTGCGCGTCTCAGAACTCTAATTTCAAAGGTCGTGCCAGTGCAAAAAGCGTTTTCTATTTTTCGTTTTCATTTTCATACCCTGCATTGAGAGCCAACCCAAGAAAAGGTATTTTAAGAACAAGAAAACAAATTTGCGCTTAAATTTCAAGTATACCTCTAAGAAATCCTGAATATCTAAAATCATATATTGAAATGTATAAGGTATGTTTCTGTTAACATTTGAATAAGGCTATATTCTCTGTCAATATTAATTAATATTCAAACCATGTAACTGTTACTTTTAACTTTTACTGAAAGGAGTAAGTGCTCTTTTATGAACTTCTTAAATTATTTAATGCTTAATAGCATATGCCCTTAATTATTTATAAAGTATCTCTCAGTCCAGCAGCATAGCTACAGAATTACTTGTTTTTTTTTGTTTTTTTTTTTTGGTTGACTTTGAGCATCTCTCGTTTCGGTGTCATGTCTTTTAAGCCATGTGCATGTTTTATTTGGCATTCGCCTTTTGTGTATGTACGCTGCATTTGATTCCACGCCCACCTCCAAATTGTGTGAAGGCCGTTGCGCCGACAAGTGGCGTGAATAATTGAATAGCCAGCGCAAAGTATCGGCTAGTGCAATGTTGATTAAATTTAAGTAGCGAAAGTGCGCGCTGCCGCTGCCATTACGAATTCTATGCCAGATTTGAACGGATAAATGCTTCTCATTAATATTAGTATTCACCTCAGAATAAGACATAGCCAAGTGATTTAGTCTATGGTTTTAAATCCACTCATTGCGCATACGACATGTGTGTCCCCCTGTTAATAACTAATTAGCCCTATTAATGCTTGTCATTGGCACCTGCAACTGAAAGTAACGAGCTCGAAATACAGTCAAATAAAAATAAATGGATAAAAAGTGCCAATTGCTCGGGTTCCAAAAAAGTTCTGTTGACAAAAACATACATCTGCACACAACACACACACACAGACACAGACACACACACACACACACACACACCCACACAACTGCACACCCGCCCACTCATACTCTCTCATGTGCAGCAACAAGCAGTAGTTAACAGCGCCTTAACAGCAGCTGAGCGGCGGCTTCCGAGAGAGAGAGAGAGAGAGCTCAGCAACAGGAGCTGTGCTCTTGTTCGCTTAATAACGCTCAACTGTTGAGCGAGCTCTGCTACTGCTACAGCTGCAGCTGTTATTTACAGATGCGGCAGCAACAGTTATAATTTTTGCTTGCCTTCTCTTTATGTCCTCGAATGATTTATTTTTAGAATGCCTGCGCCGCCAGCAGCGGCCCAGTCGAGTTAAGGCATGTGGTTTTGTTTAGTTTATGCTTGCTCTCGCTCTCGCCGCCGCTGTGCCACCCCCCCTCCTCACCAAGTACTTTGCAGTCTCTGCGATATGGCCAGCTTGTGTTTGCACGCTTGGCTTGTTTGATATTGTATTCTGCAGCCGTGAGGCAGGCAGATAAGATGCTTAGGCAGTCAGGCAGGCAGCAGCAGCAGCAGCAGCAGGAAGGTAGCGGGCAACATGGCCGTCGGCAGGTGGTTGGGAATACGATTACTAAGTACTCGGCTATGGTAATGGAGATGCGGTTAACTTTACTTATATTGGAGTGGAAATTTACGCTTTCAGCGGCTGACTTCAACTTTTTCTATTACAGGGCCGTATCGTTTAATTACCTCCAAGCCATCTGGCATTTAAGTGCACGCAAAAGTTTGCTGCGCCCAAATGTGCAACTTTCTCAGGGCTGTTGGCGGTTGCCGCCTTTGCCATGTTTTGCATTTAATCATTTTCGCTGTTGTTGTTGTTCTTGTGGTTGTTCGTTTTCGGTTGATGGCGCCATTGTTACGACCCCTTCTTTTTTTTTTTTTGTACGCGATTTGCATCTCTGCCAGTGGCAGGCCTACAAACGCAGACATACATACACACACACACAGACGAATACATATGTTTAAATGTGTGTGTGTGTGTGTGTGAGTTTATTTGTGCATATTTCAAATGTGTCGCCATCAACATGAACATAACTGAATGGCAACTATGACTGTGGCTGCGGAAATGAAAACAATATCCATTTCCATTGTATATTTTTATTTGCTGGAAACGAAAGCAGCAACAGCAGCAGTAACAGCAGCAGCAGCGACAGAAAGCGCAATGGCCATGGGGACAACCTGTCGCCGACGATGTCGCTATCGAAGTCACTGGCACACGCCCAATGGCCCAAAGCACAGTGTCCCAGTGCCACAGCAAAAAGCAAAAGAATGCCATCATATCGAGCAGTCAGCAGAATCAACGGCTTCTCTGATCCCCAGTGGCAAAGAGTTGCCAGCATCAAATGTAACTTTTCATCACTGGGGATTGTCCAAGCAATTCTACATACATGTGCACTTATGCATATATATGTTTTTTGCAAGAGTAGTTTTTGGTTCACTTCAGCTCTCAGATAAATGTTGTCAGCTATCAAAAATTTATAGATTTTAAATATCAATGTTATGTGTAAAAATATGTTTGTGCTTCAGTAAAATCTAAAATTTATTAAATCCTTCAGCTTTCATTTTGTTTTAATCTGTTTTAGGCGTACCTCTGTTCTATTACAAACAATAAGCGAATAATTTGTGCTGTGTATAAACCAGGCCAATGCCAATTGCAATCAATTCAAATTCGTTCATAATATTTATAAGTACAAGGTTTCTCAATGCCTAATGAATTCACTTATGGTTGAAAATAATCTGACTTAACGCATTATGAGGATAAATAGATTAGAGAAATTATTACATTTCGCATACAAACTTTGAAGAAAATTTGTTCTATAAATTTGAAGCACGATTTCGCCAAGAAAATTGTATTTAAAGTCAATGTGAGTACGGAACACCTGTGTTCGAGTGTGTGTGCAACAAGTAGGATTCAGCACCACTCATGAATAACAGGGTGGCTTGTGGGAATGGGTGAATCAGAATTTGAATCAGAAAATTATATGCAAAACCACTGAGAATATAATACAGACAGCGTGCTAAATGCTGCTGGAGTGGGTTGCGTCCTTGTCGATTTGACGGGCTATTGAACCATTTTGGTAGTCTAATGTTTCCTTGTCTTCGTTGCATTGCAGGTGTGCGCCGTTTGGCAGTAAGCGCCACTTAAAGCCACTTGGAATTGTTGAGCTCACAATAGAAATTTATTGACTGGCAATTGAAAGTGTGCGAAACAGAGATAGAAGGAGAGAGTGTGAGACAGAAGGAGAAACTGGCAACTGAAACGAGCAACAAAAACTGCGCAAATATGCGGTGCACGAGCCACAAATCGATGTGGCCGCCAGTGCGATTCGTGGCATGCACATGACAAGCGCCAGGACGTGGCAAGCGAATCGATCAATGCGCCAACAGGGGGATACTGCAGTAGTCATTGGCAGCAACAACAGCATCAGCAGCAGCAGCGACTGCCAAAAAAACAAGCAACACCCCGAGCAGATAATACCAAAACATTATGGCCAATGTGGACGATAGCAACAGTAGTGGCGACAGTGGCGGCCATGGAGATGAGTTGCACTCACGTCGTGACTCGCTGCAGTTGCTCACGAAGTTGGACAAGGCGGTTTCCACCAACGATATACTGCTGGATCTGCAGCGTGCGCTCACCTACGATGCGGTCTTCAGCACGCTCGTCGAGCACAAGATGCAGGCCCTCAAACGCGACTACGAGGAGCACAAGCGGGCCAAGCGCAAGAAGCGCAAATCCATTGGACGCATTCTACTGCCGCGCAAGCTGTTTGGCGGTCGTCGGTCTAGCAAGGATGAATCCGAGCCGGAGGACGAGGAGCTGCCGAGTAAAAGTCTGCGTCAAGCGAACACTGCCCCCGATATCGAGGTGGCCTCCAGCTCGCGACAGGTGGTGCAGAGCACGGAGGATAGCGTGGCCAGCACGTTGAGCAACTCGTCGGGTCGCCAGACAACGCTGCCCCGTCACAGTCACAGTCTCCTAGTGCAGGCACAGACACATACGCCCGCACCAATGCCAGCAGGACAGCGGGATAGCAGCTCCGAGGAGGAGCAGGATGGAGATGGTGGTGGTGGTGGCGGTGGTGGCCGACCACCCGAGACGCGACATTCCATGAGCACAACGACCAACGGCGATCAACCGGATTACCTCACACCGGTCGCCTCCTGCTACGACAATACCTCGCTGGCCACGGCGACCCCAACAGCAACTGCAACTGTGGTTGGTGGCAGCGCCCGTGGCGGCAATCTGCACAGCTCCACCATGGCAGATGACAGTTTGACGACCTCGTTGCACGGCAGTCTCGAGAGCCTCTCCTACTCCAGTTCCCGCTGCACGGTCAGCTTTGGCGGCGCCGAAATCATTGCGATGGCCCACGGCGATGCGGACACACGCGAGCGCGTGCGTCTGGCCAAGCGACTGCGCATCCTGGAGGCCAAGTCTATCAGTGCCCAATGCAGCCCCATCTTTCCGCGCAGCGTGGTGCGTTCGATGCTGTTGCCACAGCCGCAACAGGCGGTGAGTTAATCCAATTCTGTATTTAAATCATTCCTGCCCAAGGCTTATGCAAATTTTGCAAGCTTTCCTTTGGCTCAGGTGTATAAAGTATCATCTCAAGCGTATTCAATTGTCCGCTCTTTTATCTTATTGACCACTCCTTTCTAATACTCTCCATCCCCTTTATTCACCCAGCGGATACATGTGAATGTTCCCTCCAGCCTGGCCAGGCCGCATCCGTCAGCTCAGCCGCCACATGTGGCTCTGGAAATTGAATCGCTGCCCTTGCCACAGTTGCCGCCTCAGCAGCTGCAACATGCTCTGCCAGAGACAATGCTGTTGCCGCAGCGCAGGCGCCTCCTTCCCAAGCAACGTTCCTGCACAGAGAGCTACTCTGGCGGCTACTCGGGTGGCAGTGATTTCGATGGTGCGGCTGCCTATGCGCGATATTTCTCGCGGCAGAACACGTCCGAGGATAGCGCCAATGTGACTGTTAGCACTGTGCTAGCCCAGAGTGACTCCCAATCATTACACGCCCTGCCCAGCTATGCGAATACGCCGACAGCCTCTGCCGGACGAGAGCCGAGACACCTCAAATCGCGGAGCACCGGACTGCTGGCAATACGCCGTCCGGTGACGCCAGAGGCGATTATTATTCCTATGGAGGATGCCGATGCGGATGAGGATGAGCGGCCGTTGCCGGCACAACTCGCTGAGAAGCTGCATCGCATGACCTCCACCTCGACGGGTTCTAGTGTGGCGCCCACTGGCTGCTGCACCACAGCCAAATCGGCGGCGTCTCGCGCCAAGGAGAAACACTTTCAGAGCTTTAAGCCCACGCTGACCATGTCAGTTGCGACGGCAGCGCAAAGCACAGGCAGTGACGATGAGTATCGACGCCGCAAGCGGAAGTATAGTAAGTTCCAGCAGCATCTGTTCCCAACTTCATTTTATAACCCATTTTTTCTTTGGTTGCAGAACGCCATCATCGCTGCTCGGATCCCGCACTGGTCTATCCCACACCCAATGGCCTCCAGCACTGCGTGCATGTGCTCGGGCTGCCACCCGATGTCCAGACCATGTAAGTTCGCAGTGGTTACATATATTAACAGATAATGTCACCATTTAATCTCTACTCTAGAATTCCACATCTTAATGGTTGTGATATGTTAAGTTACCAGTTTCCTAGAAATGCGAATGCAAAAGTAAACCGATTTGATTTATCATCTAAAATAGATACATTATATTTTTTAAATTTATACTTGAAATAAGAATTCTGCTCTCTTGTCTTTTCATTTATATTAATGCACATCCTTTTAAATTGAACAATGTTTGATTAACAATAAGATATGTCATCGAATAAAATCAGTTCTGAAACCTTAAACGTTGGCCGAATTTCGATACAGTTTCAACTTAATATGAGTAAAAAATGCTGTATATTTATTTTTAAGGGTAGCCAAACTCCCATTAAATATCACACAAATGGGGGAAAAAAAAGTCGACTGTCATTTAATGTCATTTATTACCCGCAGACAATGCCCCTATGCCGAGGACTCGCCCTGCGACCTGCAGCTGGACATGGACACTGACGCCGATAAAATCGACGACCTTGAGCACATGATGCCTAGTGGCATTGGTCACCAGCGACATCGCAGAAAGCATCGGTGAGTCGCATACGCTATCGCTTCACGTCAATCAAACTGAATCCGTACATTTGCACAGTGGTCAAAAGCAAACAATTGATACTATTCTTAATTTCTAAGTTTTCCAAATGACCAATCGAATTTTGCACTGAATCAGTTCTAATAACATTGAATAAAATTGTTAAAGTGTGTTTCTTCTTCTGTTATTGCTTCTGTTAATGATACTGTTATCTTTTCTCTTACTGTCACTGTGACTGTTAATGTGCCTACAGATCTCTCTTACAGTTAATGCCACTGTTACTGCTACTGTTAGCATACTTGATTCTCTTAACGAAGACTTTTACTTCTTGCACCCACTGTATGTTCCGGCTATTTGGCCAAGCTAAGAAATGATTAGAAAACTTATAAATGAATGCGCATTAAGGCCATTCACGGACATTGGGCAGTTAGCCAGTTGGTCAGTCGTGCAGTACGATAGCAACGACAATGGCGTCCTTTTGCTGTCCTTGGACTGCACTAATAAATGTGTCCAGCTGAAAAGCGTTATTCGAACATCGCCTAATGCATTCCCTTCACCGGCTGCTTCCGCTGCCGCTGCGAGCCGAAAAGCAGACAAAAATTGATTGACAAGCTTTGTGCGTCCCGGCTTTGAGCTGTAAGTTGAGTGGGAGAAATAACGGCATTCGTTGTCACCACCTGACCGTACCGTGAACCTGAAACCCACTACCCAACCAAATGACAACCAGAAACTGCTGTTGCCATTCTCTGTTTCTTGTTTTTGATATTTTTTTTTTTAGCAGCAGGCACTTCCGTTGTGAAATGAGTAACGGTAGCGAGACGCCATGTTGTTTTTGTAACTCGTTTATGGGGCCATGCAGCGGACGGGGAATTTGTGGCAGCTTTGTAATGCGGAAGTTTTTGCAAAACCCAAACGGAAATAGAGTAAATATGTTTAAGCTGCTCTTGCTGTTGTCGTTGCTGCTGCTGCAGCAGCTGTTGTTGCTGTTGTTGTTGTTTTTGTGCAGATTATATGCCAGCGAGCTGGGCGGGTGTGTGAAAGTATGTGTGTGTATGCTTTTAAGGTGTGTTGAATTTCAGAGTAATTGATTAAGCTCCCTATTGATATAAATGCGGTTTTAGCAATATACTGGATATGGATATTTAAGTTTTCTCTTCGCATGGCAAAGAAATAAACATCTCAGGAAACGTAGAACCCTTAGAGTTCTTAGGAAAATGCGTATATTGTTATACTTTATTATATTTTAGTTGATTCAACAGTGTAAATTCTTCTCTTGCACTTTTAGTAATATTCACTTTGTCTATTCACAGGCATCGGCACAAAAAACGTCATCGTCATAAAAAACCCAAGATACTTGTACAGGATTTGGATACAGAAGTTGTTAAGGTATGTCACCCACATGTCCATGCATATGTCCAGCTCTATGCATTATATATATATTTTGCTTACAGGTAATCGATCCACATGATCTCTCTCAGCGCGCACGCTGGACAATTATTGCAACTGCCTGCCTTCTGTTGCTGATGTGCCTGATGCTAATTGGCGTAACACTGCGGATGGCACCCATTATCGATGATATGGGTGAGTGATTATTATATATTTATTTATATTGTTGGAACACCAAATGCTTTTTGCAATGTTCGTATCTAACCCCGTGAAAAGATATCCATGCCTGTCAAGCAGTCCACTAGTCCTAAGCAATGCAACTCTAATGGAACAAGTATCAGGCATATCTTATCAATGACATATATATTTATACACATATATATACTTTCAATATGTATATATATTATATATTTATAAGTGTGCATTATCCTTCTTTTTAGCTTCGCATGCCAAGCATTTTATATTTACATTAACTAAGAATTGGGGCTTATTTTGAGTCCTCCACATACACATATGATAATTGTGCAATAGCCCCTAAGTTCTAATGATGTCGGTTATAACTTAATTCTCTCTAACATATCTAATTCCGTGTCTATTGAATTTTGTTTCGTTATATTTCAATTATAGAATACCTAACGAAATGTAAGTACAAGCATAATCCAAAAGAATTAATAGACACGAGATTTTGATGCCCTGGCAGAGCTTATTTGAAATGTAAATTTTTAATTTATCTATGACAAGAGCTCTGGCCGGTTATCAAAATCCAAAATATAGAAACAGCTGTAAAAGTTTTGTTATGCTTACAGTTCTCAATTGTTTATCTGTATGCGAATAGTTTTATTGTTATACCATGGAATAGTGTGTGTTCTGGTTGAAAGCATCCTTAACCCCGAAACTACAACCAAATTATACGGCTTTTGCAAAAAGCATCAATCGTTGAACTGTTATATTATGAATCTGAAAGCTTTCAATGTTAAACAGACGCATTTCGTTAAATGTTAAGTTTGTGTTGTACATCTTAAAGAGCTTTATGTTAATTTACATAACAGCCTTGAGCTTGCGTTAAGCTGTAGCCTCTGCTTGAATTTCGAGTGCAAAGGCAGAGCTTTCAAGCGAGCTTTTACTCAAGTTAAGCTTTGGCTCATAGGCAACTCAAACTCAGTGGCCGTTGCTTACGTTTACATGCGTTTATGTGTGCCATTGTGTTGCATAACAGCACAGTAATAGCGGCGGAACTAGGACATCGTATCACATGTTGCATTTCAAACACACCCACACCCACACACACACACACACACACACACACTGATACAGTTTCTGTTAGCATCTGCATTTGTGTATGCGTGCATTTGGCATAGATTTGCGTGATGCTCGATATTTTGGTTGCCTTTTGAATCTGCATTGTTGCCATCATTTAAGGTTGTCGATAGAGTATGAAATGGTGACATTGAACTCCCTTCTCTATACACCCATGATTCCTGCGCCCCCCCAACCACAGCTGTCAGTTGCCAGCATCAATCATCAGTTATAATTCACTGGCTTACACAATTTAAGCTTTGAATTATTATTTTGTTATTGCGTTTTTATTTCGAATTACAAATTACAATTTTAATCAATTTTGATATTTTTTTTATAATCAGGCTTTACGAAGTCTAAACCAATGAAAAAGTGCCTGAAGTCATAATTTTCTTTGACTTCTGATGGTGCGTTGTTTGGCATTGAATTAAAATCAAATTCAGACCAGGTATAAATGTACTTTTGGCAATCATTCTTGTGTAGACATTTTTAAATTGAAGAATAACTTAGTGCTGTTATTTTCTTAGCTTGGCTTAGATTGCCCAAATCAAGATTATCTAGCACAATGTTGGCCAGTGTTGATCAACTCCGCCGGTGGTTGGCCTATTTCATTAGCATCATGCCAAAATTAATTAGAAATGCAGTCAAAAGGTGGTTAGCTGCTGCAACCGTCGCGATAAGCGAAATTTTTCTAAGGGTGCCAAAATGTCAACAGGCGGGGGCGTGGCACCTTGCACGAGCAGTTACAGCCACAGTCAGACTTGTAGTCGCAGCCGCAGTTGCACTTAATCGGCAACCACGGTAGCCACAATGGGGTGCACCAGCGTGACAATGACTGGTTAAAACTAATTTGTGTGTTGGCCTTAGGGGGTTGAGAACACCCCCAAACAAACACACCAAGCAAACACAGCTGAACGCACGAGCGCTCTTTTGGCATTGCTGTTGCTGCTGCTGCTGCTGCTGCTGGTGCATTGTGCGCTGTGTGGAAAATGCAAAATGCAGTTATGCATTTCTTAAGTTAAATCAGCGCCAATGACAAAGCCGCTGTGGCACAAAGACATCTTTGCGCCGTCTTTTCACAAAACTACAAATATGTGTGTGTGTGCTGGGCACTCCAAAATGCAAAGAACCCAGCTGCGAAAATGCTGAGAAGCTGATGACGTCGCCAGGTACCGTTGACGCTCTTGACTTTGCTAGCGGGGCAGGAGCAGCGGTAGTGGCAGTGCCAGGGACAGGTGGATGAGGATAAAGTTTTGCACAGTGCACACACAATTTCCCGTTCGCCTTATTTTACAGGCTTGCTCGCTGGCTGGCTGCCCCCGCGGGCTGAGTGCGTTGTCATTTTGGTTAGCTGCCGCTGTTGTGCACTTCTTTTGTTGTTGTTTCATTACTTGCTGCATAAAACAAATGCACATAGTTCCGCCTGGTTATTATCCACTTGCTGTGGCACTTTGTGGTCGCTACTACCGCGTAAAGCGACTTACAACAATGTGCCCCGGTGGCTGTGTATTTTTTGTATTTTATTTTGCAGGCTTAATCAACACGCTGCTATCATCGTCATCGTCAAACGTTGTCGTTGTCGCTGTCTTTTGTTTATATCATACATATAATGCTTTAGTTGTTTTTATTGTTGTTGTTGGTGGTGGTGGTGCTGCTGCTGCCGCTGTTGTTTGGACCACAAAAAGCATTCCGATTGCCCAGCAAAAGCCGCAAGTATTTCAGGACCAAATTATTTTCATAGCTTTAGCTTAAAAGCTGAAATGCCGGCGACGGCGTGTGTGAGTTGCCCCTCCTTAGATGTTATTGTTGTTATTATTATTGTTGTTATTGTTATTGCTGTTGTTGTTGTTGTTGGTGTTGTTGTAGTAGCAAACGCATTGCCATTGCCATTGGCCTTTGGCGCTGGCAAAGAATTAAAAATATTTACAGTATTTCGAGAGAGCGAACAGCAGGCAAAACAAACAAGCTCCTGCTGCTGCTGCTGTTACTTCTGCTGGTTTTACTGCTGCCTCTGCAATCTGCATGACTTGGATGAAGTCGTGGCCAAAGCTAAAAGCTGAAAGCCGAAAGCCAAAACCTCCATTTGCCGGAGACAACAACATACAAAGAGAATGTCCTGTGCGTATACGTATGTGTGTGTGTGTCACAGTGCCCATCCCACTGTTGTGGTTAGCAGCACCGACGCACCAACAACAAAAACGCATTCCAAACAAATATGAGAAACATAATTTCGTTCCACACAGTTCCTACAAACACACACAAACAAACCCGAAAAAAAAAACAAAAGTCTACTTGGAAATGTGCAAGTTTTTTCTCTGGGGTTCGAGAGACTGACAAAAAGCGAGTTTCAATAAGAAGCAACTTTCATCAGTTTTGCTCCTAATTTGAGCAACCCGAAAAACAAATATAGACAGCTCAACGGCCTTTAGCCCCAGTTGCCTGGATTACTTAGTTTTGCGTCTCTGTTGTGGATTAAGTCCTTTTTATGATTAATGATGCTTTGAAAACTTGTCATTATTTGCCTACCCGCTCCACAAAATGAATTGGATGTATTTTGACTACGCCCACTCTCTGCTTCTATCTATATGTATATTTGTCTATCTGTTTTGTCTTATCTAGTTAGTGCATTTGCCTAGTTTGTTTATTTTACCAATTGGAACGCATATCAACACACTTGAAGTGGTCTGCTTAAAAATCAATAATAGAGAGATAGACACAAAATATTTTTCAAATGCGCACTTAAGTGCCAATCTAGAGCTAAGATAAAAATAGATATAAAAATGCAAAGTATTTTGCTTCAAAACAAAGAACATTTTCTAATTAATAATATTTAAATTTAGTTTATATACTCAAAATTAAATCAGATTTTCACAAATATTACATTATACAAAATCGATAAGCTTAAAGTAAATAGCAAATTTTAATTAGAAAGTCTGCCCTTTAATACCCCAGCAGAGAGTTTTATAATTTTGCCGTTAGCTCTGTAGGAGATAAAACTAGTGACATACATATATAGTCTCTATAGACATATATAGTCTCTAGAGACTTTGCGCATGTCCTTTTCCTTCCGATGCAGAATCTCAGTATCAGTATTATATAGCTCGCATAGAAAGAATCGGACAGTTTTTAAAATAATAATAAAGATGTGATTTTATTAATTTTATAGTTAAATATAGCTGCTCAGCTGGATTTCGTTCTTCAAGGCGTATTCAGTTCTCGTATTTAGTCTATAAATCTATTTAATTATTCAGTAGATCAATAATAATAGAATACATTTATGGACGCTAACTGGCAGTGCTTTGAAGTGTCTGAGTAGCACTTTATCAACAATTTTAATCGAGAAATTTACAAGTGCATTTATTAATGAGGGCATAATTGAATTCTTTTGATAGTATTATTTGCAACTCTTTAAAGTAGAGCATTAAGACTTTCGAGTTTGCTGTTGCTTCCCTCTCTAAAATGATGGCTGTAAGGTCCTTGACTTTCGAGCTTACAGCATTTAAGTGCTGTGCAATTGGTTTTGGTTTCTTTTTTGGCCACGGTTTTAATTGCGTGGCAAAACGAAAGCGAGTTGGCAGAGTGCCTGCAAAGCTTAGGAAACGGCAAATGAAATTAGGCATATTTAAGCAGTGAATTTACTGGAAACTCGGCTTCTGAATGTATAATCAGTGTAGACATTCCAAATAGACGGACAACAGCAGATACCTTCCTAGCCAAAGACGATCCTGAAGCGATTGCGGTTAATGAGTCCAGAGGCAGAACCACAACTAACACCCAGCCGTGGTCTGTGGGTTGATTGAAGTGGATTCGTCAGTGTGAAACCATAATGAGATGCGCTACAAAAAAAAACTTGGCCAAATATTTGGCAATTATTTAGTTTTGGTTTTCGACTGTGGTCTGAAGCCCCACGAAAATAATGAGTGTAATGCCTTATAACGAGGCAAAATCAGTGTAAAACATAAAAAGCTCGATGGTGTGAATGGGCAGCGAGACAAAAATGTTCGCTTGCCGCACGTTCTGCGGGCAAACGCTGGGGGCGGCTGGTGGGCGTGTTAAAAGACAAACGCCAGCAGCTGCGGGTCAGCTGTCAGCCGGCGCTGCGGCAAGTATTTGTTTGTGTCTTTTTTAAATACTCATTACAAAAGGGAATCGGCAAAAAGTTTTGATAAAAATCCTATTATAAACATAAATAAATAGAGTGCCAGCAGGGCAGGCAAATGGCATACCCGCACACAGCCACAGCAACAGCAACAGGACACACACAAACACACCCACAGAGCATATACAGGACTCGGCTGTGCAAACATTATGAGCTGTGACTTGTAAGCACAGCGGCAGGCGGCATGAGTGCGGCAAAGTCAAACAATGAGGCAGCCAGTCCTTAAAAGGACCAACCGAAACTTCATTAGTGCCTCTCAACTCGCATCTCAACCCATCTCATTCACTATGTACAAGAATATATGAGAGCTGCAGGCCAGACTCTGCACTGGTCGAAATATGAATATTAATTGCAGTAGATATATATATTTTTAATATGCAAAGGTCTCCGACTCAGCTAAATCAAACTACATTTTGCGAGAAACAATATGTTTAAATACGATTTAGATTTTAGATGATTAAGCTTCTTTTAGCAAGTTAGGTATTCTTCTCTAAAACGGGTCAGCTGTCCATAATATGGTAAGAGTGTCTTGGGTCAATCGGAAATGGCTTAGAGGAAGCCCAAAATAACATCAATAATTACTAGTTAAATTGTTATAGTTTCTTCTTTCATTGACTTTAGCAATAAATAGATACAAATATATCATTTAAATAGTTATTTCTTGTTAATTTTCTAATTTTCGGGGGGTATTTAATGTTCTTTATTTTATTCTTGAGAATATTAGATACATTACCTGTTTCTCTCAGTGCACGTACACATGGTTATTATACTCTTCCACCTGTGAATTTGAAATGAGGTAGTTTTCTTTTAGTAGTTTTGCGCTCAACAGCTTTCAGTCGGAGGTAACCAGTCACTGGATAACTTTTCTTGCGGTTGATTTTATGAGAGCGGTAGGCATCTTCAATATTCATATTTTGCAGCAAAACGAATATTTATTACCTCAAAAGAGAACAAACACACACACACACACACTGCTTAAACATTGATTGGGTGGGTATGCTGGTATTTTTGTGGTTCGTCAAGTTATGGTTGGGGGCGTATCGGTGTCGCGTAACCTTTTGTTGCCATTTTCAAGCTAGAAATTGTTTGTTTGGCAAGCCGCCTGCCAAAAATTTAATCTCATATTGAAGGAATTTTGCAGAGTGGCGCTAAGCGATATTGCCTTTGCCGCAGGTGACATATTCATGTGGGGAAATAACGGAAAAAGGCTGCTTTCAGCTCTCCACGTAGGAGGAAATTGAGGGGTAGAGTTGAAATCAAGTGACCGTATATGCTACCAAATTCATTCTGCTTTAAGAATAGCATTTGCAGACCATAATTCTTTCACAATTTCAAAATAATATTTGTGTTCCCACAATTTATTACTTATAAATTGAGTATTTTGTGTGTAATAGTGTGTGTGCGTGTGTTGTGTGTGTGTCTAGTTGTTTATTTTTAACTTTCAAATAAAACTAGCTGCAAATTTATGTGAAAATTTATGTAAATTTTTTTCCCTCTTTTTTATAAGCAGTTTTGCTTTTCCGAAATATTCTTTCAACATTAGATGAACAACAAACATAAACTCTTGCAGTCGTATAAACTTGAGTTTTAGTAGCCTAGGGACACTCAAATGTAGTAAGACATAACAATTTTTTAAAGCAAGTAAGTGTTTTACGTTCTACTTTATCTCTTTCAAAGTGTTGCACATATTCTGACAACATCCCTCAACTGTAATTTCATAAATTAAAACAAATGTGCAATATATATAATATAATTGACGCAATGATTTGTAATGGACAGCCGTAGACTGAATTGCTTTAATTTTGTTTGTAAAAATTAAATTTCAAGTTTATTATTCCCACACTTTTCTATACACAGTTATTATAATTTTGTAAAATGATTTTAATTTTAATTATTTACTTTGAGAGATGAACAATAAATGTTATATTAAGGCTCATTAGACAAGAATATAATTGAACAAATTTGCTTCACTGCCCATACAGCCAATTATTCTTTTATCCATATGACATGCCATATTGAAATTAAAAGCATTAATTTCGTTTTGCATCAATGTTTAATTGCCTTTTTAGCCATTTTATCTGTGTCTTTTTTGTTGCACTTCCATGATGATAGTCGATAGGCATCAGTCGTCATTAAAAACAAACCCTATATAAATGAACGCAATGTGCAACACAAAATCAGTAACAATTGTCACTATGAAGCAGTTCGCATTCTTTGGAGTATTCTTTTTGTTGCTGGCCGTTGCAATGGTGAGTCAAAATTAAAAAAAAAGGGTGAAGCTTTGAAGCCTTTTCTATATTATATTTTCTAATAGGCAACTACGATGCCAGAAATGCCAACCATGCCAATGCCAGGTAAAAATTTTGGTAGGATGATAAAGTCCGGTTTGCTCAAACAGAGCGCTGGACAACAGGGTCCACCACAAGGTCAACCACCACGGCCGCCACCTGGCCACAACCAAGCTGAATAAGGCAAACATTTTCGGAATTAATTGATTTTCACTGGACTTCGATTTGCTTAATATGTTGGGATAAATTAGATTACTTGAAATGGTTGCACAGCAATTTCAATAAACATTTTGCATACGAATATATTTCTAAGAAGGTTTTAATCAGTAGTTGTTGTTTATCAAAAGTAATATAAAATTCGTTTCGAGTGCGGTTTATATTTAACTCTATCTCGATAATTTCCATTAATCTATTAACTAACCTACAGTAAAGAAAACGATATCAAAAATTTATAAGATCCACAGAAACTTGACAGCAGATTTACACTTTACGTGTCAACTTAACTCTGGTAAAACAATCAAAGCTCAATTTTCTTCAATGAGCACGATTTTTGCCAGACGCTTCAAGTTTTGATACTTATTTAAGCAGCCGAGAAGCGGAAAAACTTTACTTAATAAATAAAAAATAAGGTTTGATTTTATGGCTGCTTTACTCTTAAGCAAGACTTTAGTTAAAAACTAAAGAGCACATAAATATTCGTATTTAAATTTTGTTGCTGTTTTTTTTTTTTGACTACATAGAGAACATCGTGTGGCAGACAAGCAACTCAGACTTTTTCAGCTGGCAAACTTTATTAATAAAGGGCACAAAGTGAACGAATTATGAGCATCAAATTTATAAATATAGTCGTAGCAAATTGCCGTAGGTATATTGTGTTGCCAACTTGACTGTGTAACTGTGCGAGTCAAGTTATGTTGGGTATTGGGCTGTGTTTGGGGCTTGGCCTTTGAGCATTGTACTGCAAAAGGAAAAAAAACTAGTAACTGTTGGCTCTTCTGTGACTTGTTTCATTCTATAAATTGCGAGTGCTTATTACCAAAGAGTTTGCGCCTGCGAGCATTTTATAATTGCATTACATCGTCTCAAGTCTAGTTGTCATGCCACAATCTCCTCACACCCCACCAAGCCACCCACAATTAATCATAATACCGCTGGCCCCGCTGTGCATTACTCTAATTTCCGAGCTATATGCAGCTGGGCGCTCATGTGCGAATGCACCAGCGAGTGCATATCCAAAAAGTTTTTAACAAAGTTCTCACTTGCTTTGCTACTGTGTGGCAAGTAACAGAGAAGCAAACCTCCACACAGACAGTCAGATAAACAGCAAGACAAGCAGAGAGGCGGACAGAAAGGCAGACATGCAGGCGGGCAGGCAGGCAGGCAGGCAAAGCAGGTGTTGTCTTTGATTACCAAATGTCTGATGAAAACGTATAGCTACGGGAGAAAAATATCTGATGCGAGACTTATGCCTTCATACATACATGTAATGAATCAGCATGCCATATCGATAAACATAACGCAAGAAGCGTGGCGGCATCAAACACAAATATATATACATAATTTCCGCTGTGCGCTACCAAAAGGGTCGAGGCAGGAAAGGCAGCACAACAGAACAACAGCACAGCAGGACAATGGGAAGCGGGTACGCCCTCTGCGCGCGCTCCTTGCCACATTACTTGGGTGGCGCAACCAAAACAAAAAATGCAAGCAGCAAGCAGCAAGCAGCAGGCAGCAGGCAGTAGAAGCAGCATTGAGTGAAAGCTCGATTACAGTTTACACTCGAAATGCCGTGCAACACGTGACGCTGAGGCATTGAGTGAGCCTTGAGAGGCAACACCCAAGGATGCTGCGAGTGAGTTTAACATGTTGCTTCCATTTGCTGCTGCTGCTACTGCCACAACTCGGCCCCATCGACAACGAGTGAAAAACCGAGCCACAATACGAACGCAACCGAGCGGCATAACCGAGAAGGCGCCTCCACGAGCGATACGAACTGATAAAGCCAGCTGCTGCTTATGCTGCTGCTTCTGCTGCTGCCGCTGCTGCTGCTAAAGCGTTTGGCTAAGCGTGGCAGCAGGCTCGCGCTTCGGTCAGTTGAACATTTTCCATGCTGTGATCAAGTTGTCTTTTCCTCTGAGCGCCGAGCGCTGTGCACGCCTTGGACTTGTAGCCACATTATACGCATTCCGCGTATCTCGCCAACGAAATCAAAGCGCCTGCAATTGCTACCAAAAAAGAAAAAAAGAAATATCCAAAATAAGACGCAACCAACCAAAAAAATAAAGAACATACCAAAAAAAAATAAATTTAAATGGCCGAGCATCAAGTGCAGTGCGTTTATCGTTGTGTGTATGGGCGTGTGTGTGTGTGTGTGTCTCTGTGTGTGTGTGTGTGTGTGTTTCTGTAGAGCGTGCTCAATGATTTGAGAAATTGCTAGTAGGCGTGGTCCGAAAGTGCAGCTGCAATTGAGCAGGCAGACCAATAGACTCCTTCAACTTGGAAGGAAACTGACGATAAAAGCCATACAAATGACTCTTGCAATAGAAGTTGCTGTGTGTGTATGAATGTGAGGGTATGTGTCTGTGTCTAGGTCTGTATGTGTGTGTGTGTGTGTGTGAAACTTTGGCTAACTGCTACAATTGAGTTGCTAATTTGTTTCTAATTGCGCCTAAACTGTATGAGAGAGTTTGGGCGAGTGTGTTTGTCTTACAGTTTGTATAACTATATGCATTGCAGTTACAGCTCAACGGCAAACAATTTGTGAAACGACGGACTGACTTACATGCATTTTATTAGTACATAATATCAAAAATCAATCCAATTGAACAAACACCAAGAATACCAACTTTTTTTGTAACTTAATTACAACTTTAAAAAGAAATAAGCAAACAAACAACAAATTCGATTTAAAACTCAACAACAGCAGGATGAAACTATAACAACAGTAGCAAACTCAATTCAACGGTTTCGCCTGAGCTGCAAACAAACGCCAAAAATACAACAAAACAAAAAAAGAAACGAAAATCAAAAATAAATATTGTGAAATGAAGTGCCGAAAAAAGCTGTTAAATGCGGCAGAAATGTAATTAAACCCAACAGAAGTCAACTGGAATGGGCAGCATATCAACAAAAAGGGAAACAAATCGAAATCGTTATCGGAATCGAAGTAATTAAAAACTCAAAAAATCACAAAATTACAAAACATTTGATTGACAAGCAAAGAAACCGCGTGAGAGAGACAACGAGAAAGAGAGAAAGGCGGAGAGTGGCGCAAGAAGCAGCAAGGATCCAAATTATCCAAATGAAATCAACGAAGACGCACAACAAATCCAGCATGGAGCCAAAAATTGTAATGTACACCAGTATAGATACACACATCTTATACACATTCGCACACTCGCACACACATACGAATTTTGCACAGTCATGCGTCACTTCACATTTTATAAACTTTTCGTTTTACTTAAATATTAAATATATATATATAAAAAATAGCATTTCATGCTCATTGTTACACTTACATTTACAATCGCACAAATACGGCACACAATTCCTATGCAAAGTCATTTTTCAAACATTTTCTGTACATTTTATTTCGCAAGTTAAAAGCTTTTTGGTACATTGCCATTTTAGACGCAATTTCTGGTTCCATTTAACAATTACTTTCTGTTCGCACACAAATGCAATTTGTAATTTTATTCAATTGAATCTACTGAATACTCTACTTTAACTACATAATAAGTAAGTAAGTAAAATACTGTACATTTAAAATAGTAGCCAAACAATCTGTTTATATTTTATCCTTGCCCTTGTGTGTATTCTGTTTTCCCCACTTAAGGCTTATCTCTTATCAGCCATTAATATTGTTTATTGGTAAATTGTTGCAAATTGAATCAAGAGCGAGGCAATTCTGCAAATGTAAACTGCAGACAGATAGTCTTATTTGCATTCAATTATGCTTTTATCTATTCACTCGAAATCAACTTGACTCTGTGGCAATTATGCAAATATTAAATAACTAAATATATATGTGCATGCAACTCTGTTGTATCTGAGCAAATAAGTATACAACATATTGTGTGTACACACACACACATACACCCGCAGAATTACTTACACACATACATACATGTGCACAATTCACTATGGTAAAAATGAATACTTTTTGTGCCATTAATGTGTCAAAAAGTTGAAAGATGATGCGATGTTTTTGTGTACATCCGAATTAAGATCCCGATGTCATCGCTGTGCGTAAAGAAGGAAAGTGGGTGTGGCAAACTCTTGGCAAGCTCTTGGCAATGCTTAATATTGCGAAAACAATTACAGCCATAATTTCCAAAAGTTAAATTCATCGTGTTCCAACTTAATGCTACACACAGCTTTCAACCTAAATGCCCAATAATCGTATCCATTAATACAAGAATGCTCTTCACTTAAGCACTTCTCAAATGTTGGTATGGCTTCTATCCATAGTACAGCAGTTGTACATTAGGCGCTTATATGATTTACTCCCTCTACGTTTGTGATTACAAATAAGCGTGCATTTCACACATTTCCAAATAGTTGGCATTCATTCAATATTCTATAGTTCAATAATGAACTTTATGTGTGCATTTCAAGCTGTGCACGTTTGGCTTGCCAATTGATATGCTTAGTAATTAATTATGCATTGATTGCCAGCTAAATTCTCCGAGTATATAATGAATAACGGTTACAGTGCTACTGGGCGTGGCCGGAAACCCAATTGCAAATACCAAAATCAAAAAAAAATCAAACTAATTTCATGAACATGTTTAAAAATTCATTACGAGCATTGGCAAAATATGATTTGGGCCAGTGTGCAAATTAACACGCCAAACTTTTTCACAGTTCCCTCTTTTATCAATTGTGCAAATTGCTTAATGAAGTGAATGTTAAATACTTTTTACAGAGGAATTAGTAAATTATAATTGAAATGTATCGAAAGTAAAGTACTGAAAACATTTCGGTTATATTTATATATGCTTTCATTATTTGTATATGTATTTAAATCAAAAAGAAGCTTACAAATTTACACAATTTTGAAAAAGAGGTTCTAGTTTAAAATAGCATTCGTTACAAACGTATATTTGGTTATTGCGGAGCATGAGAAACTATTTCGAATATGGAGTCATTGAATATATATATTATTGTCAAAGTCAATTTGAACTATGTAAGTATGCGTGTTGCATAATAATTTATATGAGCTCATTAGCATACATCATGTTGAAAAGAACCGTTGTAGCAAAGTTCCGCTCACAGACAAAGAAAGAAACTTCAACTAAAG